TCATCTACCGTTTCTTCGAAGAGATTGACACCATCTGGGCGGCACTCGGAAAGGACAGAACATGCAACACCGTAATTCGTGAGTACCAAATTGAAGAAGGAATTGTCGAGGAAGAAGAGAAACACGAAGAAGAGGAAGAGGAAGAAGAGAAACACGAAGAAGAGGAAGAACAGAAAAACGAAGAAAAGGAAGTTTGGGCAACCCTTGTTGCCGATGACAGTTACGAAATTTCCCAACCCTACCCATACATAATCCGCAACAGGGAGACCGGCAAGGTTCTTAACCCAGTTCTCAACAACTTGGGACACTTGAACCTTAACCTTCGGAATCACGGTTCAATTTCCATGGGCAAGCTTGTCGCAATTCAATGGGTTCCAAATCCAGACAAGAAGACGAAGGTCAGACACATTGACGGTGACAAGCTCAACAACCGTAAAGAGAACCTCGAGTGGTTCTAAGAGTAAAAAAATTTTATTTTAGGGGGAAACCCCAAGTAAATTTAGGTGTTTAGTTGGATAAGTAGGCACAATTAATGGTAATTTGGAAAATTAGCTCCCGACCTTTGAATTGGGCTCTTTCGTTATCTTCCCAGTTGCGTAGGAGGTCGTCCCAGAGGAGTTGGTAGAATTGCCAATTCAAGGACGATTTGTCCTCCCAGGCATTGAGGATGTACTGCTCGTAGAGTCTCATGACCTCTGCCTTGCACCATACACCCTCTCCCTTGGAACGTAAGGCTTCTTCGAAGTGCTCGAATGCGATTGGCTGCTTGACCATCCGAAATGACACTTTTTGTCCATTTGGTCAATGTTCGTGTCTCGTGCCATAGTCGACGAAAATACAGACAAACAGGTTATATATGAGTTTGAGACCAAGAATGGTGTAACTCGACCTGTCCGATTCAAAAACTCCGAGGGCGACCATGAAATTAAACGGAAATTAGCTAGGAAGGAATATAAAATGGACTGGTTGCCACCACCTCCACCACCTTTACCTGTTCCTCAAGTAAATAAGCCTTTCCCGTTCCCAAGAATTCCCACATTTAAATTCAAATAAAAATTTTTTACTTCATGCAATGTTTTATTTCTGTGCCGTCTTCAAGTATGCCCCAATATTTCCTTTTCGATATTACATGAACTTCGGAAAATACCTTATCTAGCTTAAAACAGCCCATCTTCTCACCGACCATACCCATTTCAATGAGTTTGTTGTATCCTTCTTCGTTCGTCATGAGTGCGTCAATGTTCTCATAGTAAACCTTAACTTTCGATTTGACTTTCGAGAAGAATTTGTTGTACTCGTCAAGGACTGCTTTTGCGAACTGAGGGTAAGACCAATGTTCGACAATAGGTTTTAATGTGGTTACTAAGCCACTTTGACCTTGAGTGAATTCGTACTTCAAAACAAAAGGAGAAAACCTTTCAACAAAGTTGTCGACCTTCTCATAATGTTTACTCTTCATCTCTTGAGGGTTCTTAATGGAATATCCCCATGTCGAATTCATAAGCAATTTGAGTGTCATTGCAAGTTTGGGGTTTGAAGCTTTCCTAATATCATACAGTTGTTGTATGACTTTTCCAACTGTATAGTTCCTTCCCGGGAACTCACCATCTTCGTTTGGAATTCCAGTCTGAATATATTGGACAAACCTCATGTACGCAGCGTTAAGGTCGACATAGTATATCTTTTCATCTGAGTCAAACTTGTCGCAACCAATTGGTCCAGTTTGTGGAAATTCAAGTGAGTCTCTTATCTTCTGCGAAACTTCTCCTGTTATCTCATAAACATCGTCGAAGCAACCTGTTTCATATAAAACCTTCTGACCTAACTCAGATGCTCTCCAATACAATTTGACGTCAATTGGATGTCTCAATGGAAGTTTGTTTATAGCATCTTGAAGTTCTTGCAACCTCATTGGAAGTTCTTCTGGTTCAGGTTGGTATCCGAACAAACCAACCCCTTGTGGAACTGTGTACTTCTTTTGTACTAGAACTTTGTCTGGAACAACTTTTGGTCTTGCTAACAATGAAAAGTTTGTTTCGTCTTTTGGTACAAAAGTTTCTGTCAGCTTGTCATCTGGAATTGGTTCCAACAAACCTTTCTCGAAAAGAATGTTTACAGCTCTGACAATGTTGCACTTACTTTTACCAAAGAATGGGTTTGTAAGACTTTCGTTCAACATGAAGTGGTTGTGGACAATTACAATCTTCAACCATGGTAAGTCTTTGTCAACAACATAGTCGTCATGTGAAGAACCTTTAGCTGTAGGTATGTTGACTCGGATATTGACATTTGCCAACGGTGCAATTTTTGCCAATTGACCTCTGAGAATGTACCTTGTCTTCACACATGACTCAAGATACTTCATCTTCTCATCTGTAACAAGACCAGAGTTCCTGAGACATGTAAGAATGCAAGGTTCGTTGACAATTGTTTCAATTGAATTGTAAATTCCATACCTTGTCAAGTCAATGTCAGACTTATTTATGAACGGGAAGTATCCAGCATGTTGTCTGACTGCTTGAGGGTTAGGTTGGTACCATTCGAACTTGATACTTGCAATTCCTTCAATTGCATTCAAAAGGTCTGAGTCGGAGTCAACCATTTGTTCTCTCTTTGAAGTTTTGAAAGCGTCAAGAAGTTTTGCGGCTGTTTGTTCATTGCCATGTGCATAGTAAATGTGACCATCCAAATCTGTTATGGTCAATCTGAGATTGTGTCCTTTCTTATTTCCGTCTTGAATTGCAGCCAGTACACCCATGAAGCCTTCTTTGTTCTTTCCTTCGTCAAAGTTTACTGTAAAGGTTCGACCAGATGTAATTTGACTTCTAACTTCACGATACTTTTCATATGAATATCTTGTTCTTTCCATGGGAGCATGTGCGTCTTCACCTTTTCCTTTTTTCCTTCTCAAAGGATGCAATTGTTCGTCATGTTTCCAGTAGAATCTGGCAAAGCCGTCGTGTCCTTCAACTTGAGGTTCACTAACATCGAAAGGCATGTCCATAAGACGTTCTTCTTCTAACCTCTCTAGTCTGTTTGGATAATTGGCACGTGCTGTTTCCAAATCCATTTCGTAGCGAAGACCAGACAATTTGTCATAGACTTTTATGGGTCTTCCTTTCCTATATTTAAAATTCTTCGAAACTCTCCAACCATATCTTTGCAACTCTGCTTTTATTCTAGCAGACTTTCTGTCCATTCTATATGGGGCATTTTTATAAAAAATAAAAAATATTTTTTTCTTTACTTTACATAACCGCCTGCTGCCATAAGTCTTTGACGCCAACCCATACCAGCTAATGAAGGTTGACTTGGTTTAGTTTGGAAACTAAACTTTGGTTTTAGTTTATCTTCAGTTTTTGGTTTTTCTTCTTCTATCGGTTTTTCGTCACTTTTCGGTTCCTCTGACTTTACTTCACTTGCAGGAACAGTTGTGTCGTCAACATCTTCATAAATATCATATGCCATTTGTTTTTGTTTTCCTTTCAACTTTTTGTGTTTGTTGTAAAGTTTAGAATATTTCGACTCTAAGTCAATGAGATGTTCTATAATGAACTGTTGGTCAGTGAAGTATACTTTTCCATCTGTTGTCTCGAAAGCTCCTTCAGACTTCAATATTTTATTTGTGAGAGTCTGTTTCTTTTTTGAGATACTTGCCGTTCCATTTCTATGAAAAGTGACTTTATAGTTAGGGTTTGTATTTCCAGACCTGGCACTTTCTATTATTGAATTTTTCTCTTCATCTGTAAGTTCTTTGACAGGTTTTGACAATGGTTCTGAACTTTTTGTTTGTGGTGTCAAATCTACCGTTTCAACTTCTTCGGTCATTTCATCTCAGTAAAAAATTTTAGTTTGGTTTGTTTTCAACTGGTTGTTGTTGTGGAGGTGGGATGGTTCCTTTAATAATATCATTCAGTTTCACATGCTGAGCCTGACTATATGGTATCGGTTTAAATGCTGGAAGCCGACAAATCCATCTTGAACTTATTTGTCTCAATGCTGCATTGTTCATTTCATCTCAATAAAAAACCTTACATTTCCCACGTTTGAGGCGGTTGAGGTTGGTTATTGTTTACCCACTGTTGTGCATGGTTATATCCTCTGTTAAAGAATCTTTCACCTTGGTCCATATAATTTCCTGCTTGGTTATAGTATCATTTGCTTTGTTATAATAATTTCCTGCTTGTCTTCCTACATTGTCCATCCATCCTTGAACTTTTCCTCTTGTTTCAGGATTTGGAATAAGATTTGTTGCATCTCGTGCTACATCCCAACCTTTCTGTACAGTTTGTATAATAGGTTGTGCTTTCTCTTTAAGTATACCTAATGTACTCAAAATCTTCCTTCCAACTCCAAATGCACCTCTGGCTATTGTTCCCACTGCCGGCAAAAATCTGGATGCAACTCCTGCTAATGCGCCAAATAAACCCATTTCTTATGGGTTAAAAAATGACGAATCCAAACAAGGACCCCTATGTTTCTAAGGCAACAAAGAAAGCACTCATGATAAAAATCTTTAGTTCAACACCAAATGCTTGGTTTATGGATATCTTGGAAAACATTCCGAGGTATAGAGAAGATGGACCACCATACTGGTTAATATTTGTCGGTCAAAACACAAGATACTGTGAAGCCATACCATTATGGTCCAAAAATATTTTAGATGTGAAAACTGCTTTGACAATATTCGTTGACAAATACCATCCAACAAAACTGACATCTGACTGTGAAAGTTCTTTCAAATCAGATGATGTAAAAAACTATCTGCGTTCAAAAAATGTAAACCAATATTTCATTGTCGACCAAAACCATTCTGCTCTTGGTGTCATTGACGGATGTATAAAAATGTTAAGAGACTTAAACCAACCACAAGGTGGTGAAGCAAATGAAATGTCATATGACGACAAGTATAGACACTTCTCCAGGCAAAGATGAGACAAGTTTTAAATATTTACAATAACCGTAAACAAAAAGGTTTGGGAAACCACTCCCCCGAAGAAATGAAAAACAACCCTGACTTAGAGAAAGACTATATATTTAATAATTTAGTCAAAAGAGACAAACAAGAAAGAATGCCGGGCTTCAAACTTCAGAAAGGTGACAAAGTAAAAATAGAAATACCTAAACGCGACCCATATGAAAATACTATTGACTATGACAACAATGGGAACCCGACAGGTACTCACATTCGTGTTCGTAAAAATAGAAGAAAGTATACAAGAGAATATTATGAAGTTTTAGGCAAACATGGCAAAATGTACACACTGCAAGCAGAAGATAAAAATACTATTGTCAGACCTCGTTTCAAACTTGTCAAAGTTCAAGGTGGTATACTTTCAAAAACAGTTCCTAACAAATATAAGACAACTCCAGACGAATATGCTAAAGAAGTTGAAAATGACGACTAAGCAATTCTATACCATGCGTAAACTGTCATGTAAGGTGGCATGTATTCTTTACTTTGTCCCGTTGTATGTGTATATCCTGTAACGAAATGTGTATGGATTCCTTCTCCCTGCGTGTCATCCCAGTAACAATTTATAGCAAACTTAACGTCGTCTTTAACATCATATCCTTGACCTTTTGTCATTCCTCTCCAATCCCAATATCTATGCTTATGCCAACCTGCTTGAGATGTAGTTAATCTTATGTAATGACTGTGTGCAGGTAAATTTTCACCTGAAATCGTTTTACTTCCACCTGTTTCCTTTGAAGAGTTTGCACAATACAAAAACCTGTCGACTATTTGTTCCCATACACCAACACCAAACATTACTTGAGGACCTCTTGCACCATAGATGTATAAATAGAACCTACCGGGTTCATTAAATCAAACATATGAGATATTATAGGATTGTCCCTTTTGAACTTAAAATATAGTGCAACTATTTCGGTTTCTTCTGGTTTGTGTCAGAATATTTTTTATAATATAATCTGATGTTTTCAGGGTAGGTAAAATCTTGACTATAATATTTATTTCTGTCATCTGTATAATAATATACTATTCTCGTTTTTTCTATTGCATTATATCTTTTATATCTATAATATTCTAAATATAAGGTTAGCTTTTGTTCATCTACATGTGGTGTTTTGTCGTCATCTCCATAGTCATAATAATGTGGTGCCGGAGCTGGGTCAGGTAATATCATATCTGCCATTTCATAAACTCGGAAATATTTCTTTTGTTCGTCTCCATATAAGTTTAAGTAGCAGTTGTTGTCTAATGGAACTTTAACTTGTGTACCATCATTCTTTTTATAGCTTACATACATTTGATTGTTATTTTTCGGAATGAGTTTATACCGTATACCATTTTTTAAGGAATGTACAAACTGCCATCTAAAATATTTATTTTCTTCATTGACAGAAAAGTCACCAACAATAGTTTCAATATTTTTTGTTCCAACTAAACTTTGGTATATTTCATTGACATATGTTTTATCTGCTTTAGTGTTTAAGGTTTCTTGTAAGTTTGTAATATTTGCAATGGTATGTGTATGTCCAACGTCACTTTTCCTGTTTAAGGTTTCTTGTAAGTTTGTAATATCAGATATAGAATGTGTATGAGTCTTATTTGCTTTAGTGTTTAAGGTTTCTTGTAAGTTTGTAATATCAGATATAGAATGTGTATGAGTCTTATTTGCTTTAGTGTTTAAGGTTTCTTGTAAGTTTGTAATATCAGATATAGAATGTGTATGCTGTTTTTGTGGATATGTTCCTTCTGTCCATGCGAAAATATATTCTTTTGTTGCATCTACATATCCAGTTATCCATGTCAAGTCTGCTTTTGTATTCCTTAACTCTGTAATACCTTTCTCAAGCTCTTTCAACTGTTGTCCATCTTCCATTAAAGCTCTGTCATGACTTGAAACCGTTTGTGCCAACATATCTACAGTTTCTTTGTCAGCTTTATTTTCAACATCCTCTTTTGTTGCATATGTTGCATCTGCTCTGTCATGTTCTTCTTGAACTTTTTCAATGACATATTCTTTGTCAGCTTTGTTGTCAACATCTGCTTTCAAAAGAAGTTCATTTATAGGTTTCTCGTTTAAAGTTCCTTTTGTTGGATTTATACAGACAGTATTGTTTTTATTGTCTTGAAATAGAAACTCATCTGTCATAGGGTTTATTGTCAGTTTTAGGTTTCCTTCTTTCAATGACTCAGATATTTTAGCATAGTTTGAAAAGTTTGTTGTGTTCTTATTTAGAGCTTGCATAATGAGTTGTCGGTTGTGTTGTATTTCTCTCATAGACGCTGTTTCATTTGACATTTTTATTATAGATAAAATATGCTTCCAATAGAAAAAGAAAATTCAAGAGTTGCTACAACTAAACCATTAGATGAACTTTTTACTAATGTCGGTCAAAAGTTTGACTTAGATACTATAAAGCATGAAGGCTATCGTTTTGACTACCCATTAAGATGGTTAAGAGACCCATCTGTTACTAAATCTATTGGCTTTCGAAGAATAAAATTTGTGTCTGTAAAAGATAAAAGTTTTCCATTTATTGTAAGGTTTCATATAGATTATACATCTGAAGGGAAACGAAAAATGTGGGAAGAAATTGAGCTAATACAAGTTGACCTTTCATCTTCTCTACAGACTGCATTAAAAAATATAGAAGATAAAATAAATTCATGTTATGCAAAATATGCTGATGAATATGCAAATACCGATAGCACACTTTATGTGAGAATTGTATATGACAAACAAAATTCACAAGTGTCATTTCAAATCTACGAAAACAATCCAAATAAAGACGAACAAATATATACAGAATTCACTGCAATGTCATGGTATTATTTGCAAAGAATGTTAAATCAGAAAGTCGAACTTCCTTTAGCAAATATTTACAGTCGATATGCAAGAGATGAACCATATTTATTTAAAGATGTTTTCGACCAAGATGCTATTATTGTTCATGCTTCATTTTCTGGCGCCCAAAACTCTTTCTTATGCTTGGCAAATGACTTTTACGAAAAACCTACAAAGCTATATGAACCACCGAGTGGAAGTATTTCAGACTTTCAAGTATGGTTTACTACAGATGGAAGAAAAAGAATAATTCCATTATACCATGCGTTTTACTTAGAACTTAGTTTCATATACAACTACTATCGAACGATAAAAATATAATTTTTTAATACGGTTGAGGTGTTGGATTTGGTTGCCAACTAGACTGTGGTGCAGGTTCAGGCTGTTGTATAACAGGGGCTTGTTCTTCTGGTTCAGGGTCTTTAGGTATAATACCAACGAACTGACCTACTCTTTTACCAATATTTTTGACACCGTTCCAAATTCCTCTTCCGACAGATTTTATTCCATTCCATATACCTCTTCCAACTCTTCTGAAGAAGTTTCCAATACTACTGAAGAAACCCATTTTACTACGTGTAAAAATCTAATGTCCACCTAGTCTTTTGCGTTTCCTGTTGAGTTCCATAGCATTCTTTAACTGGAGCTCATACATTCTGTTTCTCCTCTGGTAGAAACATATTCTGGGTCAACTCCTGTGTTCGCGTCATCTGCATAAAGTTGTTTATATCCCACTTCAGGGTTTGTATAAAACTCTTTCCATCTCATATTTGCATACCATGGTGGCAAACCTAACGCAGCGTCATTTGACATGGCAGTTTGCATTTGTACATCTGTTGGCACTTGACCATAGTTTGCCATTGCAGTTTGTATTCTAACTTCATTTGGAATATTCTCTGGGTTTGGTTGTCCAGGTTGCTGTGCATTCGCTAAGTTCTGTGCGTCCATTTAATATTAGATAAAAATATCTATTACGAGTACATATGCTGAACATTTGCAGGCATTGGTTCATCTTCATATTCTCTGTACTTTTCTGCCACGTCAAATAAATAAATGACACAATGGAAAAAACCTAAAACAAGTAGTCCTATTTCAAACCACATTTACTTACTAATAAAATTTCTTTATTGTGACACTTTCTCCAGTTTATGGGACCTCTCTCATATTCTATCTTGTCATATATAAACTCATAGTCGTTTATATCTTCTAGCCATTTCATGACACTTTCCAAACCACTTTTATCGGATGTAAAGTAAAAGCATGGATGGTTATGTATAACGTCTAAAGTTTCTAAAGAGTCTCTCAAAGTCCAGTCTACTTGGTATTGAAAATCCCATGTGTTATAGAACGGCGGGTCCACTATAAAGAAAACATTTTCCTTGTCTTTATATTTTTCATACAACTCTGTCCAATGACATCTCACAAACTCTATACCCTCAATATATTTTTCTATGTCCTCTTTGAAAACATTTGTATAGTTAAGATATAAAACTTTTGACATAAGTGTTTCAATGTCATGAACTCTTATAGAACCACTATATAATAGTCTAGCAGATATACTATCCCAGTCTATATATTCTGCTTTTTTCAAAACCTCTCTCACAATATTTTTCTTATCTAATGGTATACGTTCCATCTTACCTATAGGTATCTTTTCTTTTAACTCTTTCAATATATTGTTTGTGTCTGGAATATGTTTGAGACGGTCCATATAGTTGTCGAAGTCATTGCATATAATCTTTGAGTCTGGGAATATTGTATGGCACAAATGGGATATATAGAAACTTCCACCGAACAAATCTACAAATGTTAGACCATTCGGTAGTTTCTTAAGTCCTCTCAATATAATATCTTTACATCTACTCTTATTTCCAAAGAACGGTAACAGAGGTTTTGTAAAATTCATTTATATATAATAATAAAAATGTTTTTACCCGAAAAGTGACAGAAAAGTGACAAAACATGAAAACATATATAATTTGTGAAAAGTGACACAAAAAGTGACACCATTCATATGATGTAAATAACAACGGTTTTGGTTTTGTCACCGGCTGGTCGGCTGGGGTTCGGTCCTCCTCTTGGGTCTTGGGCAAAATTTCTTAGGGGCTAGAGGGCGCAACGCGCCTGGAAGCCCCACTCACCTGACCTGAAATCCTCCAAAAATTCTTCGAAATGTTCTAAAATATAATCTGGAGAATTATAACAAAATTCATTAATTTCTAACATATACGTATCTAACAATTCATTTGGAATTTCAAACGATCTTAAATATGTAATTGAATTTTGTATCTTCTCATTTATTTGAGAAAGTTTTTCTTCAGCATTTTCCAATAAAAATCTTAATGGATTCAAATTGGCTTCTTGATTCTGAACAAAATTTAATACTTGGTATAAACGTGATTGAACTTCTCTTTTCAATTTTGTTTTATAATCTGTCAATCGAGGCTCGCGAATTCTAATTGAAGGAATAAAACCTGTTTGAAGTAAATCGTTTTTAATACGATAAAAGTAATTGGGTGCAACTTCTTCTAAAAGATTTTTGACAAAAACATCAATTCTTTGATTTTTAACGCAGCCAAAATCGTGATATT